CCCACTCCAGTTGTACAGCAGAAGGAGCCACAGGCATGTGTGAACACACAGGACAGGCCTTGTGCCAACAAAACACCATTCACAAAAGCAGGCGGCCACAGCAGCCCAGGGCGGGGGCCGGGGTAGGAGGTGACGCCCACGCAGGGCTGCTGTGGTCGGCCCTGAGCTGGCACCCCTGGGGTCTGGGATGGAGCGGCACCAACAGGCAAGTGGGGCGGCCACAGGACATGATGCCAGCCCAACTCCACCATCTGTGCCCAAACTTGGGACAGGATATTAGAAGGTGTAAAAATAGTCCAGTATAAACATATATCTTCTGCTACAATATTTTAAACATATAATTTGAACTTTAATTTTGGTAAAGCTAACTGTTATGAACACTACCTGGTTGCTTATCCTATAGCAGTAAATAAAAATGAGTAAGTACTCTGGTGTGAACAGTCTTCTCAATGCGCTCCCTCTGCCTTTCTCCTTTCCTGATGCTGACACACGATCAGCGCTGTCCTCCCAACAGAACCTGTCCCTCTCTCCTGGTGTCACCCCCGACAGAACCGCTCCCTCTCCTGGTGTCACCCCCAACAGAACCTGTCCCTCTCTCCTGGTGTCATCCCCGACAGAATCTGTCCTTATCTCTTGTCACCCCCAACAGAATCTGTCCCTCCTCCTGGTGTCACCCCCAACAGAACCTGTCCCTCTCTTCTCTCTTCTGGTGTCACCTCCGACAGAACCTGTCCTCTCTCCTGGTGTCACCCTGACAGAACCTGTCCTTATCTCCTCTTGTCACCCCAACAGAACCTTGTCCTCTTCTGTGTCACCCCCAACAGAACCTGTCCTCCTCCTGGTGTCAAATTCTAACAGAACTGTCCTCTCTTCTGAGGTCACCCACAGAACTCTGGTCCCTCCTGGTGTCACCCTGACAGAGAACCTGTCTTTTATCTCCTCTCGTCACCCCCAACAGAACCTGTCCTCCTCCTGGTGTCACCCCAACAGAATCAAGTCTCTGGTGTTTGATTCCCGACAGAACTCCATCCCTATCTCCTCTTGTCACCCCGACAGAACCTGTTCCTCTCTCCTGGTGTCATCCCCCATGAACCATCCTCCTGATGTCACTCCTGACAGAACCTGTCCCTCTTCCTGGTATCGCCACTGGCTGGCAGAACCTGTCCCTGTGTCTCGTGTCACTCCCCCATCAGAACTTGCTCCCCTTTCTCTCCTCATGTCACCCATCGACAGAAATCTGTCTCCTCTCTCCTGGTGTCACTCCCTGACAAACCTGTCCCTGTGTCCTGGTGTCACTCACGGATACAGAACCTGTCCCTGTGTCCTGGTGTCATCCCCCGACAGAACCTGTACCTCTCTCCTGGTGTCACCCCGACAGAACTCCTGTCCCTAGCTCGTGTCACCCCCGACAGAACCCTGTCCCTCTTGTGTTGCCTCGATAGAATCCTGTCTCTCTCCTGGTGTCACCCCCAACAGAACCTGTCCTCTCTCCTGGTGTCACCCCGAGACAGAACCTGTCCTCTCTCCCCAGGTCACTTCGACAGAACCTGTCCTCTCCTGGTGTCACCTCGACAGAACCTTGTCCTGTCCCTCTCTCCTGGTGTCACCCCCGACAGAACCTGTCCCTCTCCTGGTTTGCAGGCTGTGCAGTTTCTGTTATTCACAAATACACATTTATTTTCTGTTGAACCATGGTTAGTAGAAGCTAATTGGCAGTGCATAAAAACATGCAGAAGAGAACACACACCTGCCTGAATTCACAATATTCAGAAACTGACTGAGGAAGATGCACGGGTCTGTTACGTGCAGTGGGGCCGCTGTCCAAACAATGTTCTGTGTTTGGAGGCGGCACACAGATGCAATCACAGATTCCACAGACAAACTGTAACTGACAATGGTGACCACTATGCCCTCGTGACTTAATTTTTGCTACCCCTCCTGGCTAGGTGACAGAGACGGGAGCAGAGCGGGTGTTTTCAAAGATTCGCTTTGGAGCCGAGTGGAGAAGGGTGCTCTCCTGGCTCCCGCATGTCTGAGGAAAGCCTGGGGGCCGTTGAGGGAGGGCGGGACGCTGGGGAGGCCGTGCCTCTGACTCGTGGGCACCAACCCTGGAAGTGTGGAGGGAGAGCGGGGGTGTGGGGCCTCTCCCTCCAGGAGCCCACGGTGCTCCAGGCTAGGACGGGCTGGGTGCCACAGCAGCCTCGATCTCATTCACGAAACCCACAGGGGTGTCCTAGGGTTCGGAATGCACCCCACGACTTTCCTCAGAGTGAAGGGTCCACTTCTGCGAAGGAGCTCACCTCCAGGGGCCATGATGGCAGCCATGAGCCCCGCCGCTCCGGTCACTCCAGCCAGGTCTGGGAAGGGCTGTGGTGAGTCGGTGCTGGCCGCGTGGACGAAGTGCCCCGTCGGTGACAGGGCCTGTTCCCTGCGGGGTCGGGTGGTGCCCGGGCCGGGTGGAGACGCTTCTCGTGCTCAGGGCCGGTTTCTGGTGTGCTCCCGATGCGCTTGGTTCTTGAGGCCATTCTTGTCTGAGGCCAACCAGTGACCAGGAGGCAGGGTCCTGGTGCCTCTCTCCTCAGTGTCCCTCGTCCCCACAGACCGCAGCAAGGCCTGGCGAGCCTCGGTGCCTGCCGTGCCGTGTGGGGACCCGCGGACCCCAACCCGTCTGTCCCTCCGTCCTGACCCGGCGCCAGGCTCAGCTCCAGGGCAAGGTCCTCTGGAGTCACGTTCGTTCTGCGTGACTTGGCTGGGGACCGGGCTGCCCATGGACAGAAGAAGGAGAAACGCAGCCTCGGACCAGGAGATGCGGCCCAGGGTGGAGCCGCGGTGGGGCCAGGGAGGCCGAGGAGGGCAGCAGTCCAAGGGTGTAAGAGTGCCAGGGTCCTTCGCGTCTCAGGCTTCGGGACCTGGGGAGCCGCCCTGTTCGGTGACCGCTCGTCCTCGGCCTCTTCAACACAAGGGCTTTGGAGTTGTGATGGGCTGTGATCGGCCGATCGACGGTGACCCTTTCGTCTGTAATCGGCGATCCGAGTATTCCTTTCGTCGTCGGCCAATCCCGGTGACCCGCTCGTCTGTGATGGCGGTCAGCGACTTCGCTGCGTCTGTGATCGGCGATCGATGACTCGCTCGTCTGTGATCAGGCGATTCCGGCGACCTAAGCATCTGTGATCCCAGGTGATTCAGTGGCTGCTCGTCTGTGATCAGCCGATCCGGTGACCCGCTCGTCTGTGTGATCGGCCCGATCAGTATGTTTCCCGCTGCGTCTGTGATCGGGCCGATTCGGCTGACTTCAGCTTGTCTTAACGATCCCAGGTGATTCCGGTGACTGCTTTCGTCTGTGATACGGCGATTCGGTGACCCTTTCCCGTCTGTGACTGGTGATTCCGGTGACCGCTCATCCTCGACCTCTTCAACACAGGAGCTTTGGAGTTGTGATAGGCTGTGATGGCGATCCCGATGACCGCTTCGTCTGTGATCGGCCAATCCGGTGACCAGCTCGTCTGTGATGGGCGATTCCGGCGACTTCGCTCGTCTGTGATCAGGTGATTCGGTGACTGTCGTCTGTGATCGGCCGATTCCATTGACCCGCTTCGTCTGTGACTGGTGATTCCGCCGGTGACCCGCTCGTCTGTGACTGGTGATTCCGGTGACCGCTCGTCCTCGACCTCTTCAACACAAGGGCTTTGGAGTTGTGATGGGCTGTGATCAGGCAATTCCAGTGACCCCTCATCTGTAATCGGACGATTCCACACTGCACATTCAGAGTTGTTTTCAAATGTTTCCGTACGTTAGTTCTGCCTTTCACACGCGGTCCAGCCAGGTTCAGTGGGGGCACAGGGCTGGGCTTGTGCACCCCCCGCCTTCCCCAGGCCGGTGAGGTGACATCCTAAAGGAGCCACGAAGCCTGAGGTTCATTTTTCCTTGGTCTTTATTGCCAGACACCGTGAACTTCCCAGCCCTGCCACGAGAAGCTGCCTGCCAGGTCCTCCCCATCCTCAGGCTGGGGTCTACCTGGGGATGAGCCAGCGGCAGTCTGTTGAGGGGCCTCGGAGACCCCCAACTTTCAGCAGACCATGCTGTCTGGGAGCTCCAGCCCTGCGGCTCCTGCTCTGCTCAGGTGGGGGAGTCCTTCCACAGGGCTGTGGCCGCAGCAGGTACACTCGGGAGTCAGGGGAGGCGGGTGGCGCTCATGCGTGCCAGTGAGGGAGGGGCCTCACCATCCTGTGCTGTGAGCCTGGCCCTGGGCAGCCCCCTGCCCTGGCCAGAGCCTCACCATAGCCACAGGCTAACAGGCTCTGGAAGCGTTTCCCCAAGACTGCTGCAGGCTCATCCTCAGGTAGACTCCAGAACCACAACCCAGCAGGTCACACGCGTGGCTGTGACTGTTTGCGTGCCAAGGGACAGTGGCAGTGTGCCATTGTGACAGTGGGTAGCCACACCCTTCGGCCTCCCCAGGAGGGAGCAGGAGTGCCAGCTTCTCCCCAGGTGCAGACAGGCAAGAGCAGGCCGCCTGGGTGTGTCCTGGCAGTGTGGAGGGTCCTGGATGGGCTCTGCTTGGCTGTCTGCTGGCAGAGAAACCCCCACAGACACTGCAGGCTTGGGGGTCCTCCCTGGTGTCCTGCTCTCCAGGGGGAGGGGCCGGGAGAGGTTAGGCCGAGTCATTTCAGGAGAGTTGAAGAAGGCGCTTGGGCTGTGGCAATGGGAGGTCTGCGAGCAAGCAGGGTGCAGCTAGTGAGGATGGGCAAGCAGGAGGGCCGGGCAGAGGCCCTGTCACGCAGTGAGGCGAGGAGTGTCTCAGCACTTCGTGTCTCTTGCCTGGCAACACCACTGGGACCAGACATTCCGAATCTTCCTAGACCTGCTCTGAGAACACAGGCAGCCACCGCGTCTACTCAGGAAAGCAAAGGGAGCTGACTCCACCCTCACAGTCCGGGCCACTGTGGTGAGCTGGGAAGCCGCCCACTGCCCCCCCACAGCTTTCCTTTTTCCGACGTTGCCCTTGGCACAGAGCTGGCCTGTAGGCATGTGTGCACACTTGTGTCCATGTGACCGGCTTCCCCACACATGTGCCAGGTGCCCAGCACCCCCGCCAGGTGGCCTCACTCTGCCCTCTGCCCAGGAAAGCAGGAAGGCCCTGTGGTGTCCACTGCATGCAGTACAGGTCTCGGGCCCCACAGACACCTCCCATGTCTGGTGTGGGGCCAACTCCGTGTTAGTTGCCTGCTGGTTGGGATTAGCTCCTGCCACCCTCAGGGCTCCTGGAAGGTGTCTGCCAGTCAGGAGGTCAGCACAGCCTCCTGTTGCCATGACAGCCAGCTCCTTTAAAACACCCCTTTGACCTGCAAACCACGTGCCCGATGTGGTGTGATCCGGGAGACACTTTGGAAACGGTTGAGGACGCAGGTGTATAAGGAGGGTCAGTGAACTGGGGCCCAAACCTGGTTTGAGAGGGGAGTGCTGGGGGCATCTGGCAGGAGGAGGGGCAGGAGGGAGGCCTGGGCCTGGCCTCCCCCCAGCCCCCTCTGGGGCACCCATCTGAGTTCTGCCCGAGTGAGCACAGGAATGTAATGAAGTGCGAGGTGACAGAGTCCCTGCTCCGGGGACACCGGCAGTGCCGCGGGGCATGGAGCGGGGGCTACTTGCCCCCTTGCACCTTCTGGTCGTAGGTGCCTGCGTGCTTGTAGCCAGACACATAGCCTGACTCGTCCACCAGGTCCACGCGGCCAGCCTTGCCCTTGCCCTTGCCAGAGGGGTCGAAGCGCTCCTTGTGGGAGCCCGTGAACTTGGTGGTGTCTGTGAGCCTCGACACTGTGGGCGACGAGATGGCTTTCTGCAAGAGGAGCGGGAGGAAGGGGACAGGTAAGTTGCCAGCAGGTGAAGTGGCTGTGCCTTGGGCGGGTCTCCCAGCGGTGGGGCAGTGGGCAAGGGGCAAAAACCCTGGGATTTATGCCCCTTTTAATTTTAATTCTTATTTTTACCTCTTGTGGCCCTGTGGCAGGCTTGGGCCTGCAGGGTGCCACGACCCTAACAATTGCCCCGGTCCACCTGGTGTTTATGCAGCTGGGGACCCCACCACCTGCACCCTCAGAGGGAAGGGGCTGTCAGGACAGCCAGGCCCCACCCTCCAGGCTATGGCCCCCCAACCCATGCCCCTTTTGACCAAGCCTCCCCAGACCCTGCCCCAGGCCACGCCCTCTCGACCACGCCTCCCAGGACCCACCCCACCCCCCCAGGCCAAGCCCCCAATCCATGCCCCTTCTGACCACACCTCCCCAGACCCCACACCAGGCCATGCCCTCCTGACCACGCCTCCCAGAACCCAACCCAGGCCACGCCTCCATCCATACCCCTTCTGACCATGCCTCCCCAGGCCCCACCCACCTGCCAGACCCACCCCCAGCCCCCCTCCAGGCCCCGCCTTCCATCCCCGCCCTACTCACCGTCACCCCTGAGATAATGGGCGCCTTGCCCTCAATGAGCCTGTGCACCTCGCGAACTGCCTCCTCGCTGCTCTTGTCTTTGAATCGCTTCTTGGCGAGCTCCTCCAGTGCCTCCTGGAACTGCTCAAAGGTGATGGTCCGGCAAGACTTCCCTCTGCAGGGGCACAGGCAACTTAGGGCTGGGCGCAGTCCGGCCCAGGGCTGCCCGCGCCGGCCTGGGTCTGAGCAGAGCTGGGCGGCCATTGCCCAGCAACTCACAGGCTTCACCTGCAGGCGGCCGCCCTGGTAGCGCCGCAAATCCAAACTGTCTTGGAAGAAAGCTTGGCGGAAGCAGGTCCTCTATAAAGCTAGATGCTCACATGGCCCTGCAGGCCGCTCTGACACTGGGTGCCTGTGGGTCTGCACTCTGCTGGGGCGGTGGGGGAGGCCATTAGGGAGCAGAGCCCACCTCCTCTTCCAGGGGCCACCACAGCCCCGCCCAGCTGCGCCAGGAGTTGAAGGTCCTAGGACCTGCTGGGGCCCCTACTCTGCCTGTGTGTGTTGGGGTCCTAGGTGGAGGTGTCCCCCAAACAGGAACATGGTTAGGAGGGGCCGCCGCCCCCGGACACTTGGTAGCATGGGCACAGGCCCACACTTCAGACCCCCTGGCTCCAAAACCCGCCAGGCGGCCCCGCTGTGCCCCTGCGCTGCCCTGGCCTCAGAGGTGCAGAGCCAGGTGCGGGAGGTGTGGTGAGCAGCTCCTGGTCACACAACACAGCTGCATCTAAACACACTCCACGCCTTACAACATTCTCCCACCACAGGCCATTCAGGCAATTTCAGAGGGTTCTAAACTGACGCTTGGTCTCTTATATAATAATTCTAATTAGAAAACATTTTTCTCCTCTGATCAGATCTACCACAACTAACCCAAAGTAGGGTTTTTCATTGTTTAAAACGAGATCCTGTGGATGAGGCTAAGTTCTGCAAAAGCCACCTGCATTTCACCAGGGAAGCCTCTGGAACAGCGCGAGAAAGGCTGCACCCAGCAGGCCAAGCATTCCGAGGGCACTCCCAGCTGCAGAATCCACCACAGTGACCAAGATTCAGGAGACAAATGACCCATAAAACCCCAGCAAGCCTTTCCAGAAGTCAATGAACAGAGGGCCTAGAATAGCCAAAACGATTTCAAGAAATGAGAACAATCAGAGGACTGACTACCCAACTCCAAAGCTCATCGAGGCTTCACTGCAAAGTGGCAGTGACGTCGGCATGGGCACACCACCAGCCCCCGCAGCCCGGGGAGTCCGGCTCAGCCACACACATGCCGTCTGCCGATGTCCACAGGTGCAGAGGCAAGCCAGAGAGAAAGGACTGCCTCTTCCACAAGTGGAGCTGGAGCAACTGGTGATCCCTGTGCAAATTAAAATGCACTTTGGTCTATACTGCACACTATATACAAAACTAACTCAAAATAGATGACAGTCCTAATTATGAAACTAAAACAAACTTCTAGAAGAACACCAAAAGAAGATCTCTGTGACCTGGGGTTAGGTGAAGATTTCTTAGAAATGGCAATAAAACATGGCCTATAGTGGAAAAAATGGATGAACTGGACTTCATCAAAACGTTCGAAACTGTGCTCTCAGAAGATACCCTTAAGACAATGAGAAGACAAGCCACAGAGTAGGAGACATGCCTGAGAAAGGACTTGTCTCTGAGATACACAAAGGAACCTTAAAACTCAGCAGTGAGAAAAAAATTCCATGTGAAAAGATGGGCAGAATATTTGAAGCACCAATATTCAGAGAAAGCACGTGCATGCAGGCAAGCACACGGAGAGGCGGCTGCCATGGCGCCCTCAGGGAAGTGCTGACAAACACACGGAGAGGCGGCCGCCAAAGCGCCCTCAGGGAAGTGCGCATAAACACACGCAGAGGTGGCCGCGTTGGCGCCATCAGGGGAGTGTCGACAGACAAGCACACGGAGGGGCGGCTGCCATGGCGCCCTCAGGGAAGGAAGTCAACAAATAGAGGGCCTAGAATAGCTAAAACGATTTCCCAAGAAATGAGAACAATCAGAGGACTGACTACCCAACTCCAAAGCTCATCGAGGCTTCACTGCAAAGTGGCAGTGACGTCGGCATGGGCACACCACCAGCCCCGCAGCCCGGGAGTCCGGCTCAGCCACACATGCCGGGTTTCAATGATGTCCACAGGTGCAGAGGCAAGCCAGAGAGTAGAAAGGACTGCCTTCCACAAGTGGAGCTGGAGCAACTTTGGTGATCCCTGTGCAAATTAAAATGCACTTGGGTCTATACTCTTTGCACACTATATACAAAACTAACTCAAATAGATGACATTGTGTCCTAATTATGAAACTAAAACAAACTTCTAGAAGAACAATTGCCCGCAAAAGAAGATCTCTGTGGACCTGGGGTTAGTGAAGATTTCAGAAATGGCAATAAAACTTCTTTTGGCCTATAGGAAAAAATGGATGAACTGGACTTCATCAAAACGCTCAAACTGTGCTCTCAGAATACACCCTAAGACAATGAGAGAAGAGACACAGAGTAGGAGACATGCCTGAGAAAGGACTTGTCTCTGAGATACACAAAGGAACCTTAAAACTCAGCAGGAAAAAATTCCATGTGAAAAGATGGGCAGAAGACGAAGCACCAATATTCAGAGGAAAGCATCGTGCATGCAGGCAAGCACACGGAGAGGCGGCTGCCATGGCGCCCCCAGGAAGTGCGTTGACAAACACACGGAGAGGCGACGCCAAAGGCTCCCCAGAAGTGCGCATAAACACACGCAGAGGTGGTCGCGCTGGCTGCCATCAGGGGAGTGTCGACAGACAAGCACAATGGAGGGGCGGCTGCTATGGCGCCCCAGGCGCCCACAGATTAAGCACACGGAGGCAGCTGCCATGGCGCCCTCAGGCAAGTGCCCACAGACAAGCACACGGAGAGGCGGCCGCGTGGGCGTCCCCAGGGAAGTGCCCGACAAGTACAGGGAGAGGCGGCTGCCATGGCGTCCCCAGGGAAGAGGCGGCTGCCATGGCGCCCCCAGGGAAGTGCTGACAAGTACATGGAGAGGGGCTGCCATGGCGCCCTCAGGGAAGTGCCGACAAACACACACTGCAGGAGGTGTAACTGTGGAGGTGTGGACTGGGAGGACCGTGAGGTGACCGTGAGGTGTGACCGCAGGGTGTGGACCGTGAGGTGTGACTGTGAGGTGTGACCGTGAGGTGTGGACCGGGGTGAGGTGGATCACAGGAGGTGTGGACTGAAGTGTAGAATTGTGGTGGTGTGACTGTGAGGTGGATCAGGGAAGTGAACTGAGGTGACTGTGAAGTGGTAGATCAGAGGTGCGACCGTGAGGTGACTGTGAAGGACCAGAGGTATGATTGTGAGGTGTGACTGTGAGGTGTGACTGAGGCATGGCTGTGAGGTGACTGTGAATGGGGAATGTGAGGGAGTGTGAGGTAAGGACTGTGAGGTACAGATCATGGAGTTAGACTGGAGGTAATACCTGAGGCCAGACTGAGGTGACTGAATTGTAATGAAGTGTGGACTGTGAGTTGTGGACTGTGTGGTGTATGACCACTGCAGATCAGGGAGACAGGCAAGAGATGGAGCTGCATGCATGGGCAACCTGGTTCCTCTAAGAAGGGTCTCACTCGCCTGCAGCTCGTTCAGTTGGAAACATGATTTCCACCTTTACTCCTGGGCTAGGTGGATGTGCTAGAAGGGGGCTGGGTGAGGGGATTCCCAAGGCAGAATCTTAGTTCGTCTTAAAGAATTCAAAGGCGGCTGTGCTGGGCAGAAAGGAAGAGGCGAACTGCTGAGAGAGGCACAGGTTGCTCCAAGTGGTTTTGTGGTTACGTGAACTCCCTGTTCCTGTGGCCTCAGCAGGGAAGGCTGCCTGGTCAGTTCCTCCTCCCATCCCTTCCTTTCCCCCATCTCCCAATCCTCCTCCTCCCTAAATCCTCAGGCTGAGAAGCTGCCACACCACCGCCCGAACAGCAGTCCACACAGGTAGCCAGGCTCTGCTCCTCTGTGATAAAGGCCACAGACCCCGCCCACTGCTGTGCCAAGTTACAGAGGGGCGGGTCCTGAAAGACTGGGCTAAGAGGAGAGAAAGGGCAAGAGAAGGAAGCGGGAACTGTGGCAGCCATGGGTGCAGGGTAATACAGCCGTGGGCAGTGGCCACGCCACTCCGAACCCTGGCAGGCCTGTCTGCAGGTCAGGGTAGAGTTGGGGGCTGCAGCCTCGAGCACTGTCCTGGGACGGGATACAGTAGGGTCACAGCTCCCAAACACGTGGGATCAGGGCTTCTGCCCCCCAGGATTCATGCTGGCTTCATCCAGTCTCTGACCATGCTCTTTTTGAGGTCCACAAACAGGACCTGGCTCCACAGTGGTCCCATCAGTGGGGTGCCTTGTATCTCTGTAGCTAATGTGGCTGAGGTCAGTAGGCTCTGCCTTGTTCAATACTGTAATGCCCTAGAGGTTCTTTCAATTCATTGCTGATTGGGTGAGCAGGGCAATTTGAAAATGACAAAGTTGGCAAAATAATATAATTTTTTATTTCAAAATAAAAATGGCCAAAAGTGCATTTAAAAACCAGGACTCTCTAATAGCACTATTACGATGTCAAAATTTATTAAGACGACTTGGGAATTAGAAATATTTCAGTCCCTGTATCTCTAGATTTTAGGAACATTGTTTTGCTAGCCATGAAGCTTCTATCATCCCTCTCATGTAAACCAGGGCTGAACAGTGAGGCGCCATTCATTGCCCAGCACAGCCCACCAGCTCCTTTCATCCATTCCATAGGTGGAGCAGCACTTCCAAGGCTGCTCCCAGGGTCAGGGCAGGGTTGGGAAGGGAGGAGGCAGGTGGGCGGAGCCAGTGGGACACAGAAGGTGATAGCCACAGAGACAGGGTCGCGGGGTGGCCAGCAGCTTCGTGTCTGCAGTGGAGGGCAGGCCTCCAGCAGGTGAGGGCGACACCACTGGAGAGGACTGAAGTGCCAAGAAGCTTCTCCTGTCGCCTGGTGGGGCTCCCTGGTCAGCACCCAATGAATGCCTTGCTGCAGGAGCTGAGCCAGGTATGCATGCAGCACAGAGCGAGGTGATGGATGCACTGAGCTACCAGGAGTCAAAAAGACTA